ACTACTACTACTACTACTACTACTACTACTACTACTACTACTACTACTACTACTACTACTACTGTTCTGGAGGGGAACATGTAGCTAGATGGTTTCGCCGACACAAACTGGGCAAAATAAATCCCTGCCAGACACGAGTTGTGCTTAGAATGATGAACAGATAAATGATTACCTTCGGACTCCAAAATATGTGCTTTCTTGACTGCTGGCCCGCCAAGCTCATCACGAGTTCGTTTCTGGCCAGCTGCAAGAATGTCCTAGCTTGAAACAACAAATGCACAAAACGGGACATGCCAGATGCGGTGAACAGGACTCGCTCTTAAGACATAAATCAGGCCGCCGGCAAAAAAAAAAAACCTTACGCTTCTGTGGGATTAGTTCGTGGCAGTGCTGTCAGGCCTGGATGCATTAAAAGACACAGACTAGAGGCGGGCAACAAGGGAAATTAAGAACAAACAGCGAGAGTGAGGTGTTAAGACGTCTCGGTCCTTTACGATACTACTGACCCAATCACGTCAGCATCCACCGTTGCAACGATCATCACCAGTAAAGCAGAGATAGGGGAAATATACACTGCCACACCGGGGTGCATCCGCACATGGCCAACTGTCTCTGTGCTAGGCCCTTTTGTTCACTGAGCAAGTGCTAGGCCCTCCAGCGAATAGCTTTCATCACTGTTAGCACGCGTGCCATCTTCTCGAAAACCATCCAGGTGGCCATTTACCGACAACCACCGACTGTCAACAGAGGCGAACAGCATCCCCTACCCATCGTACTTCACTACTTTTCCCACTGTCCGCAATGTGATGATATCAGGCACGTCGCGCCCTGTTGAAGGAGAGTCCGACGTTACGAAGAGGTGTGCCATGCATCCCCAGCTTCATCGCTCTCTCCGGCACAGCCAGCGCCCATTCCTCGCCTTTCGTCAGTAATTCTGTTTCGCATCCGTACCTTCAGCGCACAGCTGGGTACAGTGTTTTCGACCTGACATTTTCGAGGACATGTCAAGCGGATCCTGCGAAAGTTGGCCTTTGTTTTTTCCTTCAAAATGTGAAAATACGGAGAATATGCATTTAAAAAAAACTGCCCGCAGTTGCTTTGCAATCCCTCTCCCGGTGAAAGAAAAAAAAATCCTTTAAAAGGGACCTTTGCAATCATCCATCATGTCACCTTCATTTCCGGTACCATTTGCCATAATTAACGAAAATTACCACAGATCCTGAAAAAAAGAAAAAAATTAAGGAAGTTCAACTGTCTGGATGCAAAACGCACATTGCTAGATGCTCAAACAAGGCCAATGAAGAAGCCAGGGACACAGGCCCCACGGCACGGTGGGCCACCAACAATCAAAATTCGAACGTGAAAATCGAGAAACACGCTACCTGGGAACGTATTGCCGTTACGAAAATCAGTTGCCTCACGCAACTATCACATGCACACAACCCCACAATAAAGCATACGCTTGACAAATTCAGGAACACCACCACCAAATATCGATCCCTACAATCATGCGACTGCTTGCCTCACTCGCACGCCCAGAACTGAGCCACGCAATGCAACTAATTTCATCCCGTCCCCTTCGAAAAGCCAACTACAGTAACCAGGGGTGGTACGGGGATGGGGCTGGGAGTGGTGGTGGCTGAGGCCAGGGCAACTGCTAAAAC